CCCCAAAAACCCCAAAACCCCAAAACCCCAAAACCCCTCGAACAAACCCGCTGATTGAAGATATGTAATAGTTATTCCGGCAACTTAAATTGGTTGTATCAGAACCCATCTATTTTCTTATCCTCTGGCAAAACTTTCCTTGCTCTTTTCCCTAAAATTGGGTCAGTGAAGACATGGTTCGCATACTCTACTGGCTGCGTTTGAACTTTCCAGAAGTCTTCAAAGCTGTTAGGAGCGGAGAAAAGGTCTCGAAGTGAACGCTTTTTGAGAAACTCTTCATCTGAAAATACTTTAGAATTGAACATAAAATGTGTTGTGACACAGACTTCAACACTAGCTTCTTGGAAAATATCCTTTGCTTGGAACAGAAGGTTGATTCCTTCTCTGTATTTTTCAGCGATTTGCAGCTTTTTCTTGAAGAATACGTTTTTCATGCACAAGAATTGTCTCCGAGAGGGTTTTAGTCTGGAAATTATTACGTCGAGAGGGTCAATGTTGTTCTGTTTTGCAAAATCATCTCATTCCTTATCTTCAAGTTTGCTCAGCTCTTTGATAGTCTCGAAATCAGTAGTGTATTCTTTGGAGGGACACTTTTTAAAGAACTTATCGAAGGGGCAAATGTGGTTGACAAGGATCTTAAAAATTCCATCCATGAAATTCTTGTGACGATCCATTTGAAATTTGCAATTTTTTGCGAAGATATCTCCAAGTGTCTCTTTTGTAATTTTCTTGAACTCTAAAGTTTCCGGGTCAATAAAATTCTTAAATGTTTCCAACTTTTGCTTTCTAGAATCCTTTTCGAAAGTTTTGATCTCTTCACCATAATACTCGAGTTTTTCACTTCTATAGTTTGCAACCAGATTTTGAAGTCTAAAGTTCTCTTTCTGTAATTCTTTTATTTTTTCTTCAAGTCCTTGCAAATATAGTTTTTTCTTGTCTCTGGATCTTTTAGACCTAATTTTGCCTCTCCTTCTTCTTTCCTCGATTGAGGTATCAACTTTGCTCTTGTGCTGGTCTGTTTCGGAAGATACACTCTCTTTCTTAAGCTCAGTTTCCTGTTGAGGTGGAATAACACGATTCTGAGGAGGATCAGGACCTAGCATCCTAGAAAGAGGCTCAAAAGAGTTAAGACCAAAGAATGAGGTAGAAGGATCGTTAAAAATGTCCATTGATATTTACTAATAATATTACTAATCTCAAATTTCTCCTTGGGGTTTTGGGGTTTTGGGGTTTTGGGG